GTCAAACTACCTGGTGATAAACCTGTTTCTAAAAGCACCAGGTGCCCTAAATACCAATAACCGCACCCATGTGACAATTATCATAAACAACAACAAGTGTGTGTGATGTTATATAAATAATTAAGATAATATAACTATAAACACCACAGCATTTTGGCTCCTACAGTTAGGGTTGTAACAGGAGCGTTATGTTGCTAGCTGTCTGTGCTACATTAAAGGTCCCCTCATACTGTTTTCCCTCAATATATCACAGGTCTCAGATATATACAGAGCCTGTCTCTGATTGGCTGAAACACCAAACAGATCATNACCTATCGAAGCAGTTCCTGCCGTTGCTACGTAGTTCAAACGGTAACAACGGACTATTTTACTTAGCGGATGCATGTCATTTTAAATCAATAAAAACATTTTCTAAATCAATAAAAGCATTTCAATTAATATTGGGAGTCATGTCGTTACTTTGTTGAGAATGTGGCCGTGTAATAAGCGGTTTACAATAAGCCTTGTGATTCTGTCGGGTGTTCTTTTACCCATAATGACCGCCTCGCTGCACATTATCCCTTACTTCGTATTCAGAAAGTCAGAGATTTTGAGAAAAAGTCAGAATTTTGAGAAAAAGTCAGAATTTTGAGAAAAAGTCAGAATTTTGAGAAAAAGTCTGGATTTTGAGAAAAAGTCAGAATGTTTAGAAAAAGTCAGAATGTTGAGAAAAAGTCTGGATTTTGAGAAAAAGTCAGAATGTTGAGGAAAAAGTCAGAATGTTTAGAAAAAGTCAGAATGTTGAGAAAAAGTCTGGATTTTGAGAAAAAGTCAGAATGTTGAGGAAAAAGTCAGAATGTTGAGAAAAAGTCAGAATTTTGAGAAAAAGCCTGGATTTTGAGAAAAAGTCAGAATTGTGAGATTTTGAGAAAAAGTCCGGATTTTGAGGTAAAAGGCTAATTGTGAGAACTTTTGAGAAAAAGTCAGTAATTTTTTATATTTTTGAGTACAAGTCAGAATTTTTGACATCTTTGTAGAAAAAGCCCGAATTTTTGAAAAAATGTCAGAATTTTGAGAGTGTTGAGGAAAAAGTCAGAATTTTGAAATTTTGAGAAAAAGTCAGAATTTGGAGATTTTGAGAAAAAGTCAGAATTTTGAGAAAAAGTCAGAATTTGGAGATTTTGAGAAAAAGTCAGAATTTTGAGAAAAAGTCAGAATTTTGAGAAAAAGCCTGGATTTTGAGAAAAAGTCAGAATTGTGAGATTTTGAGAAAAAGTCCGGAATTTGAGGTAAAAGGCTAATTGTGAGAACTTTGAGAAAAAGTCAGAATTTTGAGATTTTGAGTACAAGTCAAAATTTTGACATCTTTGAGAAAAAGCCCGAATTTTTGAAAAATGTCAGAATTTTGAGAGTGTTGAGGAAAAAGTCAGAATTTTGAAATTTTGAGAAGAAGTCAGAATTTGGAGATTTTGAGAAAAAGTCAGAATTTGGAGAAAAAGTCCGAATTTTTAGAAACAGTCAGAATTTGGAGAAAAAGTCAGCATTTTGAGATTTTCAGAAAAAAGTCAACAGTTTGAGAGATAAGTCAGTATTTAGTTCATGACAGGATGTATGATTACAATAACCGGTATCCCTCCATCTTGTGACTGTAACTCCCTCTCTTGGATATCAGCATGTGAAGGACACTGTTCAGGAACTAGTTGATGCTCTGTATGTGATAACTACTTCCATTCTGGAGAGGATCACAGATACATGGATCCTGAGATTCAAGATCAAGCCGGGGACCAGGGAGATTTTTCTAACACATACCGATGGTGATTTTCCCCTCGATCTTCTCCAGGACGAAGCGAGCCTGATTGGACAGTTTCGAGGCTTCGGCTCCCAAACTTCCCAGCAGCCAATCCTTCCTCAGTTTGTAATATTGGAGACGCAGGTCGAAGAATTCTTTGAGGATATCTTGAACCGAGTCGTAACGCTTCATACAGCCCATGTGGTCAAAAAGCACCTGAAGAAGGGGGGGAGGAAGTGGTTTAAGATTCAATGTAAAGTGTTAAGAAACAGCAGATTAAAAAGGTGGTATATAGAGAATAAAATAAAGTGAAATAAATAATACAATTTTAAAACTGTACATTAAAAAACAGAAAATAAATCTGGTTTTAGAAAAAAACCACAGTGAAGACTAAAGAGTCAACACTTTATAAATCGGGTTATGTGTGCTCTTCTATTGGTCTTATTCAGAAACTGTACATCAGAGTATGAATGTATCTGATTCCTACACCAGAAATAAAGGTGTTTTAAAAAGCTAGTTTAAAAAGCACATCTGCTTCAGTGTCTCTCTGTTGCTCTGACAGAGAAATGGCTGTGAGTCAGATCATAATTCTCCATAAACAACTTAAAGGGTCAGGGTAAACCGTATGTCATTTTGTCTTAATGTACATTATTTAATTTCATATTCTGTTCTTGGTCCCTGTCAGGTGTTAGATGGAGTTAAATCTCTCTTTACCATGGAGTTGCAGGTGAGAGTTGACTGCAGCTTGAAGACTTTGTGCAGCCCCACGGACTCGGCCTGAGCCAGCTTCTCCTCCGACATCCGGACCACGAACTTCACCGTCTGGTCCGTGTGATATTCCTTATAGTCGTTGATGAGAGCCGGAGTTTTATCTGTTCCCTGCAGCATGGGCTCCAGAACGGACTCCTTATACGACTAAACACAACAGGGGAGAGAGGTGGTTAAAGTACACACTTCCTTTACTCAAGTAGAAGTACAGATACTCATGTTTAACAATACTCTGGTGAAAGTAGAAGTACTGACTAAACTTCTTTACTCAAGTCAAAGTAAAGAGGCTTTGAAATGTACTTCAGTAAAAAGTACCCATAACTAGCAGCTGTTTTAAAGAGTACCTGACCTCCCTTTATATTAATAGAACGATAATGTCATTGTTAGCTAATGAATGTTTCCATGCTGAACAACGGCAACATGACAACGTTTTAAAGACCAGGAAATGATGGATACACAGATCGTGTTCAAATCAATAGGCACGCAATGACTCTAAATAATAATGATCACGCCACCAAACACACATTCAAACTAAAGGAACCAGCCTGTTTGGGAAATGAGAGAAGTAGAAAGTACAGGTATTTGAGTTCAACATGTAAGAAGTAGAAAGTACAGGTATTTGTGTTCAACATGTGAGAAGTAGAAAGTACAGGTATTTGTGTTCAACATGTGAGAAGTAGAAAGTACGAGGTTATTTGTAGTTACAACTATAGTAAGAAGTAGAAAGTACGAGGTTATTTGTAGTTACAACTATAGTAAGAAGTAGAAAGTACTAGGTATTTGTGTTACTAAAATGTA